CGCAGGGGAAGGAGGACTCGGTCTGTGGTCGTTTCGGCGCCCCGACTGCCGCAAATGGCACCTGCGTGGGTTGAACTGGAGCATCCAAGCTCCTACTCATTTTTCAGCCAAGTGTTTCCAAGGTGAACATGCAGCTGAAAGGCCGCTGCAAAAAGAAAACAAAACTCGAGAAAATGGCCCTTTTAGGGTATTTACTGTGGTATAAAATAGCAAAACAAAGCACTGTTCCAGTTTCCAAAAATTCTCCTGTGGTATCATCTCTATTGGAGGTGCATGTCCTGTAACCTCGGGCCTTCGTGCCTGCTCTCCTGTGGGCCTGCGGCATGGCCACCTGTGGGATGAGTTAACAGCAGGAGAGTCCCAGGGCTATGGCCTGAGGTGTCTGGCACTGAAACCTTCCCTAACAGTCTCCGGGTTTTAACAGGGTGATTTCTGGAGCCAGAGTAGGGGCAGGGAATGATGGTGACACTGCTTGCCTTCAGTTGAGCACCCGTGGTGGTGGGGCTTGAAGCCAGTTTGTGTGCTAGCAGAGGGCACTTTCTCTCAGGACACCGAGTAAAACTGTTCCTCGTTTACCTGGACAGAGCTGGGGTGGACCGAGTCCATACCCTATCTTGAGAGACCTCCATCTCCGCTGGAGTTTTATCGAGAATGGGTGAGTCCCAATAAACCTTGTATAATTCAGAATGCCATCAGCCACTGGCCGGCTCTGAAGAAATGGACGACAGCGTACCTCAGGTATGAGCGAGCTTTGGAGCAGGACTAGTGGTCGATTTTGGCTGACCTGAGTAAGAGGCCTTTGGTTTAATCTGTTTTAACCTGTAAAATTGGCTCATATTTCTCCGTGCTTCTGTATGAAGGCGTTCAGCCCTGCTACCATGTCTAAAACTCATGTATAGATTTCTTCCTGCAAACACACTGTCCTGACCAGTTCTGATGCAGTAGGAAGAGTGGGTGTTTTAACAGTGTGCAGCCAATGGACTCGGGCTATTGAGACCCAGTGCGATCGCTGTCCTCTGGTCAGTGGTCTGCCCTGTAGAGCCCTCCCAGTTGGAGTGGGGCTGTAGCACTGTAAGAGCAGACTGACTTGTTTGTGATCAAGTGCACCTTTTAAAAAAAAACAGGTGATGAGCATTTTAAAAATTACTTGATTTTTTTTTTAAGCTCTTTTTTTGAGAGGAGATTTCTGGTTAGACCTAAAACCTGTGGATTTAAAATTAATTTTCTCAAGAAGAACTGTTAGCCTCATGACTTGCATGTCTGTGAGCCTCTGTCCACCATTTCTCCCTCCTTGATTGCTTTTCATCATATGGCCACCCAGATTTGACTGGGTTGAGAGGTCCTGAGAATGTCAGACTCCGCCATGATTCATGAAAACAAGTGGCTGAAGGGGGCCTTCTGCCTGCGCAGAGGGAAAGGGAGCTCCTTTCTGAACTCATCTGTTAGACAAGTGAGAATTCAGAGTGGCCAAAGATACCATAAGGTTGCCTTGACCACAGGGAGCAGAGCAATCAGAGAAGAATGGCAGAGTCCTCACCAAACTGTAGAAAATCAAGTCTAGAAGCACCTGCCTATGGAAAGTCAGGCTTCTTGGTTTTGCTGCCTATGAAACATGTTGTTTTTAAAGTAACCAGTGTCCAATATATGGGCCAGTTGCCAGTCTGGCTATAAACCTTTGATTTATTTTGCAGGGAGGTAGTAGGTCCCAAGGTAGTGAGTGTGGCAGTAACACCAAATGGTTATGCAGATGCGGTGTTTCAGGACCGTTTTGTCATGCCAGAGGAGCGCCAGATGCCTTTCATGGACCTTTTGGACATTGTGGAGAAGAAGGTGACCTCTCCCAACGTGTTCTATGTGCAGAAGCAGTGTTCAAACCTCACTGAGGAGTTCCCTGAACTTGTCTGTGACGTGCAGTCTGACATACCATGGATGAGTGAGGCGCTGGGTAAACCACCTGTTTCTCCTATATTCAGTAAATATTTTGTATGGAGCTTTAAGACAATCATGCTAGTAGGTACATGGTGAATGTTCGTTCTGTGTCTGGATGCCACAGCTCAGTTTGGTTTCACAGAATCACAGAATCCCAGACCGTTAGGGATTGGAAGGGACCTCCAAAGCTCATCCAGTCCAATCCCCCTGCCGGAGCAGGAACACCCAGATGAGGTTACACAGGAAGGCGTCCAGGCGGGTTTTGAATGTCTGCAGAGAAGGAGACTCCACAACCTCTCTGGGCAGCCTGGTCCAGGGCTCTGTCACCCTCACTGAGAAGAAGTTTCTTCTCAAATTTCAGTGGAACCTCCTGTGTTCCAGCTTGTGTCCGTTACCCCTTGTCTTATCATTGTTTGTCACCGAGAAGAGCCTGGCTCCATCCTCGTGACACTCACCCTTTAAATATTTATAAACATGAATGAGGTCTCCCCTCAGTCTCCTCTTCTGCAAACTCTTCTGTTTCATTGTCTTAGAAAGCAGAAGTGGTAAAATACTTAATGGAGTAATCCAAGTTTTGGGTTTGGGTTACTCTGGATTTAGTATCTCAGTTGTGTATTGGGGCCATCACGACTGAAACAATGTGATGATAATGCCATAGACCACTTCTTTTCATATAGTCTCTTTTCTCTGATTTGGAGTCATGTTTTTGACTCATTCATGCTGTTGCTACCAAAGGTCGCATAACAAACAAGCAAAACAACACAGCCCCACCTCCCCTTTGGTAAAATTACAGGTGTTTGTTTCTAGTTAAATGCTGTTCTGCTTCAGTTAGTTTCTGTTTTACAGCATGTTCTTAAAAAGGTCAATGCAAATGATTTACTGTGATCTTACTTTTTTGCAACTGTACGTAGATAAGCTGCAGTTTCTTGGTGAGCCAAGTCTTAGGGATTCAGAATGTGGAAACACAGGGTTGTAACCATCGATTTGGGCATGGATAATACTACGTCTTGAAGTCAGATCAGCACACACTGGCTTCCAGTGCCGAAGGACGCTGCTGTTGCTCACAGGGTACTATTTGCAATGAAACCTGGCATAGTTATGGAGTAAAGGACAGAATTTGGGAGAAATTGACAGAAAATTATGTGAAACACTTCTAAACTTGACCCTTCAAATCCTTTTATTTTGTTGACAACATTTCTCTATTCCTTAACCATACAGGGAAGAAGCCCGATGCTGTCAACTTCTGGCTTGGGGAATCGGCTGCTGTGACATCTTGTACGTATTGTGTGGCACTGTCAGCCTTTTATGTGCTTTCAGCACAGGTTTAAGTGGGCTTGTTTTGGGTGAGTGGCCCAGCGATACTGTTGTGGTTTTTTCTTACGGGGCAGTTCTACTTTAACATGATTTTTTGCATTATTTCTCTTACACTTCTGCAGCCTCTTGTTGCTCTGTGTCTGGGTGCATCTGCCTGGCATTGTGTCAGGCAAGGCACTGACAATTTGCTACATTATAGTGTTACTTTCCGCTCCTGCTGTCCACAAGAGGAGGAAGCAGCCTGATAATAAGAGGATAGGCTGACACTTTCAGTTTACTATGGTTTCTGATATATAGGAGGAAATAACACTGATTTTCTCTCTTCACATTTTTCTCCATCCTAGTACATAAAGATCATTATGAGAACTTGTACTGCGTGATATCTGGAGAGAAACATTTTCTACTGCATCCACCGAGTGACCGTCCCTTCATCCCATATGGTACTTAATTTACTGTGCAGTGTGTCTGGAGGTTGGAAGGAGGAGAGACTAAAATGTTGACAGTTATGAAGAAGGAAAAAGAGAGAACATTTTGGTGTTTATGCAGTGTTACACTTTCCAGCTTGAACAGATATCACTTCTGTTTTGTGCTGCAGGTAGTTTGTAATACAAACATTATTCTGAGCTCGAGTTTTCCAGTCATGTAAAGTAATAGGTTCCTTGATACTCATGGCAGCTTTAGATACTCTCTTGATCTTTAGAATGTTTACATTATTTAAATATCTTGTCAGTATTGTAGCATGTAATCTTTGATGTTTAACAGGTTTGGATTCTGCCTGCTCATTCTTTTCTCTAGGAAAAAAGCCAGGAAGCTGAAAAATAAGTTGTAATTCAATGAAATATTCAAGTTACTAACTGACTTTCTGAAAACTGGAAAGATGAAAAAAGAGATTCTTATGGCAGCATTACTTCATAGAATCATAGAATGGTTTCGGTTGGAAGGGACCTTTAAGATCATCTAGTTGCAACCTCCCTGCCATGCCCTGGATCAGGTTGCTCAAAGCTCCATCCAACCTGACCTTGAACGCTTCCATGGGGTATCCACAGCTCCACTGGGCAACCTGTTCCAGTGTCTCACAACCCTCATCATAAAAATATTCTTCCTTATAACCAGTCTAAATCTGCCTCCTCTCAGTTTGAAACCGTTGTCCCTTTTCCTGTCACTACAGGCCTTGGTAAAAATTCTTTCTCTGTCTTTCTTATAAGCCCCTTTTATATACTGAAAGACGGCAATAAGGTTTCCCCAGAGGCTTTTCTGCTTCAGGCTGAACAACTTCATCTGTCTCAGTCTCTCTTCACAGGAGAAGCGGTGTCATGTGTGTGTGAATGTATGAGATACATGTATGTCCTATGAGTCATACATTGTAAAACAAGTTACTGGTAAAGCATAGAAGAGAGATAATGCTTACGTTTTCTAATGTGTAGTAAAAAGATGACTCCATCTTTTTGAACAGCAGGTTGATGGAGAGAAACTCTCTTAAGGGAGGGCTTAGAAAACTGTGTGTTGAAGCAATGAAAGAAGAGCAACCTGCAGTATCTGAAGCAGTTGATGAGCCCTGTCAGGTCAAATTAGAAGTGAAGAGCTGGCCACAAGTCACTAGTAACTCTTGTGAGTGCTATCTTACCAGACTGACCTAAGAGGAAAAGGCAGAATATAGGACAGTGTGCAAGTCAGGAATGCATTATGAGTTCTGAAAAGGAAGCAAGACGGTTTCAGGAACAAAATAGGACCAGGAGTAAAATGGGTTTTGAGGAGAATAATTCCTGTGAAGAAAGAACGTTGGAATTCCAAACAGGGAGGCTGTTCAGTATTCAGACTGACCTAAAAAAAATTAGAAGTTAAAGTAGATAAAAATTGAAATGGGCAAAGGTAAGGACAGTAAGTTGCAAATGGTTTTGTCTTAATTTGTCTTCTACTGGGTGAAAGTGTGACATGCCCTGCCGTAAGTGACTCTGAGTACTACTCTTTGTGCCATTTAATTCTTTCTGTGGTTCCAGAGCTCTATCAGCCAGCAACCTACCAGGTATCAGAAGATGGCTCATTTGAAATTGTGGATGAGAAGAGTGCAGATAAGGTAAAAAGTGTATAAGGAACACTATCAATACAGTAAAGGTAGTTTTGGGCACTGCTGAGCCCTCAGCCTGAGTGTATTGGTTGATACCTAGAAATCCTTCATTACTGGAAGGAGAATGCCCAGCTATTTCACTTGTGTTTTGCTATTTGCAAAGGATACCCAGCTTCCAGAAAAGATTTTTACTGCACACCTGAAACCATTGATAGCATCAACTGTATTCTTTGCACTGAACTTAAATAGATCCAGTAAAGGACTTTAAAATGAATCAGCAATAAAGGAATTGATTTCATTAAGAGTGAAATAGACTCCTCTGCATCCACTTTCTTTTTGCCCTCTACTCGAGGCTGGATTTTGCTTTACACAGCAGTATCACCCAGTGCAATAAAACATATCTGTCTCAATGAAGAAATTGTGTTGTTTTAGTAGTAGCAATATTTATTTGGTTAGAATGTATAGATCTGGAGGCACTTTACAAAAACTTAGTAGCCTTTTATATCTAATTTCTCGCCTTTTGCCTCTGTGATATGTGCCTAATGCTACAGCTGGAATTGAGCTGGGGCTCTGTTTCCAGAGTGCTGCCCATGGAATCTCACGGGTGCATTCCTGTAGTGCAGTGAGGTGGAGTGCTGAGGTTTATAACTCTGTAAGACACAGAAGAAATGAATGCAGGCAAGAGGGATTTCCCAGCAGGAAGGAGCATTTTAGCTGCTGGGAATAAAATTAGAGCAGAGTGCTTAAGAAGAAAAAAAGTTTTTTAGAAAGTGGTGCAGATAAAATACTCAAGTGCTGAATGTAGGAAGAACAAGTGACTTAAGGGGCTGGAGGTGTTTTGAAAGTGTGCCACAAGACTGGAATATCATGGCTGACATTTAGCACCTTTTCCCTGATTAGAAATGCTTCACTAAAGAAGGCAAATTTTTGCATCCTTGACCTATTCCCAGTTGAATGTGGAAAGCTGTGTAGCTCTGTTTTGCTAGGCAAAATACATGTTTTGTAACTTACGAAGTTTGATTATCAGCTGTTTTTCTGGAAGCTTGCTGGAATTTTTTGCCAGGGTCAGTACCATGTACATACTCTTTTGCTTTTAGGTGCCCTGGATTCCCCTGGACCCCTTGAACCCGAATCTGGAACGATATCCAGAGTATGCTCAGGCAAAACCTTTGCAGTGTACAGTGAAAGCTGGTGAGATGTTATATCTGCCTTCTCTCTGGTTCCATCATGTTCAGCAATCACATGGCTGTATAGCAGGTAAAATGCACAGTATTTCCAGATACGCTTCTGAACTGTGGTGGGTGTGCAGCTAGATACCCCATATCAAAGCATAACTGGGTCCATAAGTCCCTTTAAGATCATCTGCCTCCCCTGAGGAGGAGCTAGCAATCTCGACAGATCCCATGGGGATCTCTTTGCAGTCTGTATTGCTTATAATTCCTAGCATTGTTGACAAGTGCTAGGGATATAGCAAAAGAAAGAGTCTAGTTGTGAAGTCTGGAGAAGGATGCCTAATTCAGTGATTGTGATCCAGTTTCTGTTGATATCGTGGAGCTAAGCAGTTTGTCTGCCTACCCTGCTAACTGCAAACTGGTCATCTACATACCTTTCACAAAGAAACTCCATGTTGTGTGTGCCATTGTTGCATCAGCAAAAAAGGATCTAGTGGAAGAAAAGGAAACCATCCGGTGGATGAGTTTTAGGCATGGATGTAGACACAACGTGGAAGATGCTCTGTTGTCATGTGAGCTGGAACCTGCCCTGTCCCAGTCTCCTACCTTGCCAATAAGCCTGTGCTTCTGTTACTGTTCCCCTGCACTTACCAAAAATCCTGTCATCTCTTTCTTTGTAGAATTTATCATAATCTCTCTCTGTTTTTTTTTCTTCTCTAAGAGAATTCCAGAATTTCAAGCATTGCTCATTTGGTGCAGGTGAAGGGGTGGAGGTGGTGCAAAGCATCACCATTATATCCTCTTAAGTTTTGCAAGGTTTTAAGAGTTTTTTGCTGTTCTTTACCTGGAAAAATCCTGTCTCTACCCAGGAAGTGTAAACACAGTATTTTGAACAACATGACATTAGTATTTGTGCAATGCTGCAAATATTGCCAGGTGCTTTTTTTTTTCTCAGTATTTGCAATACTGTGATAAAAAGACAAGCTAGCAGTAAAGCCGTATTTCTGATTCTCTTTTCCCAGTACTGCTGCATCAGTCCTCAAAGATTTTTTAGAAAAAGTAGAGTTGTTTCCAGTGACAAGCACCTGGCCACTCTTTTTCTCTGTCTAGCAGAAATGCTGAAGAGTTTATTTGGCCTTTGGTCTGCTAACTGCACTACAGTCTGTGTGCACTTGTGAGTCTGGTTCAGAAAATGTCTGAAGCTAGAGTATATCCTCCTCCAAGAGCTGGTGCAATACTATACTGCTTAACTTATTTTTCCTAGGAGACGTACACCAAAATTAAAATGAGAAGCAGAATTAAAGCACTGTCTGATTGATGACCACTGTGATGTAGTGGTGAATTTGCCATCCTTTACATACTCAGAGGAGGAGGGGTTCTTATCCAGAGATTAATCTTTGCATTGTGTTTGGTATGTTTGGTCTAAATAGAACCATACATTTTCTGTTCCTAAACATCTTGCCAGCTGCTGCTCCAAGGAATCCCCAGTAGAGTCTGAAGAGGAGTTGGTTTGGGTTAAGACAGAATTGCATGTGCAGAACTATTAAACAACTCTAATGTTTGCTCATGTTCTTTTTGGCTTAGTCAAGGATTTGGTCATTTCAAAGTTCAGTCAGTAACAAGGAAAAGCCTGTTCTAGCTGAACTGTGAGCACATTTGTGAATCATTACATTCCAGCCTTAGAAATGTTTTTCCTTTTTCTTGTCTCCTCAGTGAACTATTGGTATGACATGGAGTATGACCTTAAGTACAGCTATTACCAGCTACTAGATAGTCTCACAAAAACCGTGAAGGTGTCATAGTAGAAGTGGGAGACTTGAGCTTGCATCTCTCTCTGATGTGATACACTCATCAGCATCTGTGACTGGAGTACAAACATAATTCAAGTGACAAGAACTGAACATTGAATAATCCTCAACAACGTCTGTCAAACATATGACTGTCTGTCTTGATTTCAGAGTCCAGATCAATTGGCCAGATGTTTTGGCTTGTAAGTAGAGGGTTGATAATAGTACTTTTAGGTCTTTGCATGTTGCCTCTGATTTGGAAATCCCAAAAGAGAAGCCATGACTGTTTGTTCAGAGCTGCAGACTGTCTTCGTAACAACCCAAGCAGACAAGGAAGAATCTGCTCTGCCCCTCATCGTCAGGCTGCGTCAGTCCAACACGTGCGTTCGGCTTAAGGCAACAGTCCTGTCCAGTTGTAATTCACTAAGTTGGCTGTGGTGTTTTGATGGTGAGAAATTACAACTTCTGCAATAAAAGGTCAGTTGGAAAGCTTATTTCTGTACTAATTTCTTACTTTTTTTCCAAATGATGTGGTGGGTGGGGAACATCTAGGCTGACATGCAGAAGTCAATGCTGGCTGTTTTCCATGTTAAGCTACGTGTTTTTATTGCTGTTTTTTATTTCCACTGTTGTATTTAAATGTAGCTGCACGCTCTTATGTCTTGAGTGGTGATTTTAGAGTTGCTTTACCAGATCTTCAGCCAGTCTGCACATTACCTGTGGTCTCGTGGCATCACGTGTGATTCTGCAGCTTGTAGGCTCGTTGATTTTGTCATTATTCCTTTGCCATGAATTCCTGCGTAACGCATGGTCAGGCAAGTTGTGTGAACCAGGAGCCCATTTCTGCAGCCTTATTTCCCGTTTGTATTTCCACAGAAGGGGATGAGACTGCTCACATGTCTGAGACCTGCAGGGTAGGACTAGAAAGCTATTAAATACATGGACATTGCAAAAATGGAGTATTGTTTATGAATACCAAAAGTTGATATTCATCATCAAATCTTCAAACAGTTCCGTAGAGACATTAGCGATATGAGGTGGGTTAATTTCCATCTATTAATTAAGCAAATGCAGATACCATTTAGACAGCATTGGTTATTGTGAATAAAAATATAAGAATTTTACTTTGTTTCTTTTGTTTCGTTTCTTTTTTTTTTAAAAAAGAAGTTCATATAGTTCATAAAACATCGTTTTACTTTGTGCTTTTCCAAACATTGCTGAAAATTCATGAGAGATTAAGGACAGGTTTTCTTTCAGGCTAGATTAAGATGTCACGTTAACTGAGGCTTTCCAGCATGTTTGTGTAACAAGCAAGTTAACACTGTGCCTTAGCAAAGACGCCCGAGCCAGTTCTGTAGTAAAATCTGGACTTTCCCACAGTTGGGTGGAAAGGTGATTTGAAGATCTCTTTTTGTCGCTGTGGGGTTTTTAATTTAGTCTCTCTCTCCAGTCAAAAGTAAGACTGCATGCCAGGAACGAATGACAGCTCGTGTCTGTTCAAGCGGATGGTGTTGCTGTACCACCTCCGGGCTGGAGTGTCTGGAGGGAGGTGTGCTCTGGACTACGTCTCCCAGCAGCCCGTGCTCGCCAGCCGAAGGAAACAGTCACGCTGGTTCCTCCTGGACTTTGGGCAGAGATTTTAAGCCTGAGAGGCGACTGGCTCCTGGCGATCCTGTTTCACGCAGCCCGTATCTGGCCGCACAAGAGGGCAGCTGCTGTTCCAAAAGCAGAACTGGGATGGCGGTGCAGGTGGTGGTTCTGCCTTCCCCCCGGTGTCTGTTCGACGAGCCGGTGCAGATCCGTGTGACAGGCCTCCTGCCGCAGCAGGCGGTCACCCTCCGAGCCAGCCTGCTGGACGACAGCGGGGAGCTTTTCCAAGCCCATGCTCACTACAGAGCTGAGAGCAGCGGGGAGCTTGACCTCAGCCGCTCCCCTGCACGGGGGGGCAGCTATTCAGGAGTGGAGCCGATGGGCCTGCTGTGGTCTCTGCAGTCTAAGACACCCTATAAGCGACTGGCAAAAAGGAACGTCCTGACCCCTTTCTATGTGGACTTGGAAGTGTATGAGGGCCACGGGAACATGAGCCGCTTGCTGGGAAAGTGCACCAATGAACGATGGTTTTTAGGAGAGGGGGTGAAGAGGATTTCTGTCAGAGAAGGTCAGCTGAAAGCAACTCTCTTCCTCCCTCCTGGTGAGTTTTAATTCCATTCTGGTTTTCCAAGTGTGACTTACACCACGTGTTGTACCCCGTCCCCTGGATGCACTCAGCAACCCAAAGCAAAGCCTCAGGTAATGATTCCCTCAGCCTGTGCTTTGTCCAGCTACTTGGATCCTCACAGCAGCGCAGGGAGGAGCAGGCGTTGCCCAGGCCGGTCAAGTGCCAAGGGGAGGGGCACCAGTGGTAACACAAGGTGTCTCCTGTTTGTTCTAGCTGAGGGGGTTAGGAGCTCTTCTGCAGTGAGAGCTCTGGGGAAAAGTGTGTTTATTTATTAACTCCTCTGTTTAGCTGACATGACAAAGAGGCCCCTGGCCTTGGGCAGAGCTGTGAAGCATGACAGGTCTGGCCATGGAGTGAGGAATGACAAGGTGTGATGGGAGCACTGGTCGCAGGCTTCAGTCAGCCTAGACTACTCCAGCAGCTGCCACAGATCTTCTTCAAGCTCTGGACTTGTCTCTCTGTCTCTCTCTTTGACTAAGGAAAGGGCAAAGAAAGAAGTCTCTACCTGATTGAGCAGCTTGACTGCACCAGATACCTAGGAAGATGGGAGACAAATGAGAAATGCAGGGTCTTTAATTATACTGGCATCATATTCCACAGCTCCGTACAGAGACAGTGCTGAGACTGGATCTTGTGTAAAGCTGCTCTGAGCCCCGAACTGTTTACGTTCCTTGAGCAGTACCTAAACATGAATATCTTGCTCTGTAATGAATAGAAAGTCCCTTGCAGCTGCTGTGACGCCGACTCTTGTAAGGGAAGTCTGGCTGTACGAATGGGCAGAGCAGCAGCAGGAAAGGAAGGTCCTGTGGCTGCAGAAGGAGAACTGAGAAACCCAGGGGTAGTTACCCACACCATACTGAAGCCTGAATTGTCGTAGCTAGCACAGTTCCTAAAGAAGTGCAGCTCATGCAGCGATACTCTTTGTTCATCAATCTCCAATGGTTTGAGAACATCTAGGCCAACGTCAGCTGAAATTCATGGTGGGAGCAGGATGCCCAACATGTGAAATTCTTATAATGAGTTCTTAAGAGAGAGAAGAAATATCCAGACTAGTGCCCTTACAGGGACTGATGTGTGCCTGAGAATGAAAACCTCCATGGAAAGCTTCAGAGGATGATTTTCTTCTGATGTCTGCTGTCCTCGTGTGTGCTGAGGGGACACTACTGAAAGAACTTCTTTAGAAACTTTTCTCTTTGAGTACGTATATATATATACACACACCTTTCATTGCAGGACCTGGTCCATTCCCTGGACTTATCGATTTGTATGGATCTGGAGGAGGTCTTATTGAATACAGAGCAAGTCTCCTGGCTAGCAGAGGCTTCGTGACTCTGGCTCTTGCTTACATGGCCTTTGAAGATCTCCCTCCTAGGCCAGAGATCCTTGAACTGGGATATTTTGAGGAAGCTGTGAAATTTTTGCAGAAGCAGCAGCAGGTAAGAGATAAATTATGGTGTTCTTCCTGTTGAAAACTCTTTTCCACTTTTCAAATTGGAATGCTGAATGTCACTGAATGCAACTAAGCTTCTGAGATGTTAGAAGGAGACAGCGTTGTCTGAAGGACAGCATGATCTGAGAGATGGAAGCATGTGCCTCAACTTGAATTTTGCAAGTAGTTGGATAGCTGGTTTTTTGTCTGAAAGACAGCATGATCTGAGAGACAGAAAGCATGTGCCTCAACTTCAATTTTGCAAGTAGTTGGATAGCTGGTTTTTCACAGCATCTTGTAACAGTCCATAGAATGGTGTTGTGCAAACCAGTGTTTGTTTAAGATTAAATCAAAGCAGTTTCTGGCTAAAACTGCTTAAACAGGAAATCTTAATTTCTTTCTCTACTTTTGTGTCTTTCAAGATTTTAGAAGAGAAAAAGAATCCGTTGACTTTTTCTACTATTTCTGAGATGTTACAGGCTTTTGACTCTGAGCAAGTTTCACAAGACAGTAATAAGACACTTGAACAATAGAATCCCTTACAGTTGTAGCATTGGAAAGTTCACCGTGTCTTAAGAAGCTGGAGCTGTATTTGAGCAAGTATGTGGGATGAGAAAGACATTTGATAGCAATATATCATCATACTTAAACCAAAAGAGACCAAGAGAAATCAAGTAGCATTCAAACTTTGAATGGAATGCTACTTAATGTGGTATTCATTTCAGAAAGTTAGTTATTTTCTGGCATGTGGACACGAGGAATGTAACCAGTGTGAGAGCAGAATTCAGCCTTGCTTGTTTGTCTTGTTCCTCATAGAGCTCTGAAACTTCCAGAGTGTCTTACAAGACAGACATTATAAAATGAAGAGCCTTCACTATAAATAAGTTGATTTAAGCAGTTACTGGGCTAACTCAGCCTCAGATGTAATGAACCTTATGTTCATTACAAAACAGAAGATAACATTTCAGCTGTAGGAGAGTATCTAGAAACAATGTCATGTAAATCAGCACAAGTAAACTGATGAAGAGGTGGTTTTTCCAAAAGGCACCTGAGGAGAGAAGACAGAGGGGGTTTGGAGATAGAAGCATCAAAAGATACAATACTGAGAGCCTGTGTCTAGCCAGGATGTGGAGGGAGCAAAGAGACTTTGTCTGTAGAGAACAGCAGGG